TGTGGTTCTATTGACTAAGTAAGGCATCTTCTAAGAAATGTGAGTAAAACTCCTCTACCTCTCCTCCCACCTCTGGTCCTGGATCTGAGTTGCTATGTTTCGAGTGTCACCTCCAACCTGCCTACCCACCCTACCCTCCTCCTTACCATGGCCATCAGCACCAAGGCACTGACCAGCACCGCATACACAGTGGCCTTCCCCAGAAGGATCTCATAGAGGATGGTGGCAGACAGGACCCCTTGCTGGTAGGAACCTGTTGGTAGGAAATGAGAACAAGTGCATACTTTTAAGCAGATATCTCTGCCCCTCCCCCAAGGCCCATGGGTTCTCCATCCTCTGGTTCCAAAGACCATGGGAGAAGGAGAGAAAGAAGCAGAGGGTCACTTACTTGAGGTGAAGCCACAATCTGAAAGAAAGAAGAGGGAGGGAAGTGTATGAGCAGATGCAACACTGTCAGCTTTGTAATCAGAGCCCAGCTGCAAGGCTGTGCTGACTGGGGATCTGAGGAGGAACTAGCCCAAGGTGCCTGTTCTTCTTCATGGTGTGCTCTCATCTTTCCATCCCACTCCTTTTTTTTAAAAAAAAAATGTCTAACCTGGTCTTTGTGGCCTTCTACCTGGATCCCCCTTTCTCTCTGGTCTGGTGCCTCCTTGCCTGACCCTCCAAGGCTCCACTCACCTGCTCTGCCCCAGACCTCAGCACTGACATTCTGGGTGATGGGTATGGGGCGGGTGTCCTCCCAATTCTTCTTGTCTTCTTCCTCTAGCCCAAAGAACTGGACTTGGCAGCGGAAGTGGTTGCGAGGATTGTGCCAGAAGGTGGCAGAGACCCTCAGCCGGCTGCTCAGACAGTAGTTGGAGTCATTGAGGTGGCGCTGCTCCTTGTAGGGCTGAGGGTCTGTGCTGACCCCACTCTGGATCTCCTTCCCATTCACCCACCAGCTCAGCTCCACGTGGTCGGGGTAGAAGCCTGTGGCCAGGCACACAAGCGTGGCCTTCTGTGTCCGGGAGATCTCTGCTTCGGATGGCTCAAACACAGTGACCTTGGGTGGTTTCACCTTGTTCAGGTTGTCTGGAAGGGGAGAGGAGTTAGGAATAGGGCTGGTCTGAGAGCTGTCTAGGTTTGGTAGGGGCCTTGTGTATTTTATGTGGGCCTGCAGAAGCGGGTCAACATAAAGCAACATTATGTATTAGATCCCATTTGTTTATAGGTCCCATTCTCTATTGTCATTTTTCCTTGACTTTCCCATCTCCTTCTTAGTCACCCCATGGAGCCACTATCTTTTCCACCTCCCTAAGGGGGCGCCCGCTTCTGTCCCAATTTTCTTGGATTTTTTTTTCAAAGTCTCACACTCAGGCCTTGCTCAATTACCTATCAGACGAGTATATCTGGCTTATCTTTTCTTCCTTGTTCAAAACCCTCTTGGTGCTCGATGTAATCTTTGAGATTTAGAAGTGGTTATAGCAGAGTTGAATGGGCCTGGATGTTAAGGCAGAAGATTCTCACTAGCAAGATAACCCCGGGAGCTAAACTGACTTTTTCTAATTAGCATTGTCTTGTTTTGTAAGGTGTATATGTTTGTCTGTATGATAGCACATATAAGAATTAGTCTTTCTTACCTAGAAGAGACACCTTTGCCATTGCATCTGACTATATATTTTTTCTATATACTATACCCAACTCAAATTTTTTTCTCTCTTCTTTATTTTTTACTGTGTGACTTTCCAAGGTGCACCTGGCTATCATCTTCTCAGCTGTTCCACATTTCCTCCCAAGCGGGGACACACAGGGTTCATGGTAGCTTGCCTGGGATGCCTGTCATCTCATGAGAGATACTCCCCACAGGTTGAGCCCTTTCTTCCTGCCAGTGCCCAGCAAGCCTCCCTGCCAGGGTTGGAATCCTATTTCACAGCCAACCTTTGCATTCTTAAAAGCACTGAGACCTTGGTTGCTGGGTAGGAAAAAGCTCCCAAAGTCTGAAGGCCATTTCATCAGAGGCTCCATATTGTAAACCCCTGGGCCTTTTTACAGTCTGACAGATGGGAGAGAAAGGATTTCTTGAATTGTTTGAAGGCATTTTCCCACCTGAAGACACAGAGGGATAGAAGACACCACAGCCATCTTTCAAGCACCCTCCTTTTTGTCAGACTTTTCTGATCCTTTTATTTGGTTCTGTTTTTACCACAAATACAGTTTTTGGAGTAGAAATGTGGCAAATCCAGATATCTCCACTTTATCCAAATTTGGGGCAAGCTTCTGATGGGAAAGTTGAGACACAGGTTTGGAAAAGGGCAAACTGTGATACAGTGATGATAAACAATGGGAATGAGAAGGATGGTGCCCATAGGTGAGTCCTTTACAAAGGATTTTCACATAATTTAACCCCTTACAGTTGAAGGACTCCAAGAGGCTGGCATTGTTAACTCTGTTTATATCTCTCACTTTCTAATTTCATGAGCCCCCTGGCCCTGAACCCTGGCATTGTGAATCCCACGGTGAGCCTGGTGCCAACCCCAATTCCATCATACTTTCTGACATTGTGCCCCATCTGTGGAACAAAGCCTGATCCAGCCAACCAACCTGCCCCCTTCCTCCAGCCCTGTCTGTATCTCCAGCAGAGACCCATCCATCTTTGCCCTGCTTCTCCCGATTGTCTGCTTCCTCCCAAGCACAGGTCCCTTAGCCTGTAATCCCAGCACAGACCCGGAGGTTTGAGAAAATGAGTCCTCCTACCTATTTCTCTTCTTTATACCTGGTCTGTTGGAAGATGGTATAGGTTCCCATTGTAATAGTTAATTTTGACATACCTTCTCTAATTCCCACCAAACACAGTGTCTCCCAGAGACTCCCCTGCAGTTCTTACAATGCTGTGACATGGACTTCTGCCTTTGGGACTCAGGATCACCTCTCAAACCACTCCAACCTCACCCATCTGGTCCCTCACTGCCTCCTGAGCCCTCAAATCACCCAGAAAGACACACAGGGATCTTTGGAGAAGTCAAGACAGGGACGGAGTGAACGGTGCAGGGCTGGAGTTAGAATGGGAGGGAAAATGGAGAAGATCAGAAAAGAGAGTGAAAGTAAAACAACATAGTAATAAAAAAGTAGAGATGAGAGGAGTCTGGAGAACAATGGGAAGAGGAGAAAGCAAACACAGAACCTGAAGACTAAGCGTGGAACCCACCGCTGAGATGGCGCACGAACATAGTGGAGCAAGGAGGAGGCTTCGGGCAGGGTGGAGAGGGCCCTGAGTTCCAGGAAGGAGGACAGCTCTGATCCTGTCCTTACTTCACACTCCCCTCCCAGCGACTGATCATCATGGTCCAGCACAAGCACCCCCAAGTCAGGAACAGGACCCCGTACCTGTCACGGTGAGCCTGGTGCCGACCCCAAAATAGAGGGGCGAGTTATAGGAACACAATAGCAGAGAGCTGTGGCAAAACCTACCAGAGGTCTCCCGCCAGAGGGCTAGTCTTAGCTCCCTGGGAGCCAGAAGCCACCTTTCCTTGCCTGTGTTCATGGCTCTGGACCCAAAAGAGTCTATTAGGAGGAAGACCCAAGCATAGAATGGGGAGAGGAATACCAACAGGCTCCGGTGGGGCATATCCACCAATGTAAGAAGGAGGATGAACCAGGAGAAGGGTAAGGAGGCAGATTATGCACTGAAGACTGAAACTCCCCTCCAGTATAGAAGAGTTCCCTCAGTCCCCTTCCACCAGGGCTGGGAGCAGAGACAAAGTCAGGTCTAAGGGACAGTGGCCTCACCACTTTGGGCCAGTACCTTACCTAGGACAGAGAGTCGAGTCCCATCTCCAAAATGCTGTGCCTGGTTGCTCACAGTACCACAGGAGTGTAAAAAACCCCAGAAACACAGGTGTGGGGCCCTTCCTTCTAGAAGCTCAGTCCACCCAGAACTCCTGGGACTCTAGTCCACTCACCCACATTCTCGGAGCCTGTTCCCTGCTGTGTTCTCAGTCCCTGTCCTCTCTAAGGCATCCTCCTGAAACTCCCACCTTATAACACGCTCTCCCCAGGGAAGCCTTTTACTTACCCAAGACAGAGAGCTTGGTCCCACTGCCGAAAAATAGCTTCTCGTTACTTACACAACACTAAAGCCTGGTAAGAAAACTGTCCCTGAGGCCTCACATTCCTCCTCCTCAAGTTCACCTGCCAGTTCTCCTTCTCTTTTCTCAGCAGAATTTTACCTCTGGGAGGTGGAGGGGGGACAACTGTGCCACCAGAAATGCTGTGGTAAGAGGGCCCATTCAGCCCTGTGAGAGCCCCCCTCCTGCATCCATCCCCTTCTGTGTGAAAGACAAACAGTGGGACTACAGCAACTTTACCTCCAGAGGCTCTCCATCTACCTTGGCCATGACGGGGCACCTTCCACGGACTCAGGAGGTGGACAAGGTGAGCCCTTCCTGGCTAAGACTACTTGCCCCTGGGGAGAGGAACCCAGACTTTGGCACAGACAGTCTATTGAGTTATTGGAGATGGAGCCTGGTCCCTCCTGTCTGCACCAAGACAAGACTTCAGATCTTTCCGATGAAAACATGCTTTTATCTAAGCTCCCAAGACAGGCTCCATCTGGGTCCCTGCCTCTTCTTGTAGGCTCCCAGCCCTTCAGCCCCAATTCGCTTAGACTTGCTTACCTACAACAGTGAGCCGGCTGCCTTCCCCAAAATAGAGGGTGTTTCCAGAACACAGCCTCCCAGATCCATTTCAAAACCCCTCTTGTCTGCTCAGCACAGCTGGGATTCCCTTATAGAGTCCCTAGCCTGCTTCGGACACCCTGCATACCCTTCTAGAGCCAGCCCAGTGACATGGGGTAGAGACATGTGTGATCTCCCATGAAATTCAGAGCAGGGAATATGAGCCTCTGTTGGCGAGGGAAGATGGGCCAATGTCAGAGATCACTCTGACCCTCTGGCCTTCTCCCAGCTCCCTCTCCCAGGTAACTACTCAGAGGGGCAGCACCACCTCTCAGGCTCAGCTCTGAGATTACAGGGGACCTCGGGTGGCTGAGTGAATGTGCTCGCACAGGGACCATCCTCAGAATTCGTTCACAGATGTAGAACCTGGGAGCCAGGTCATCTTTTCCTGCCCATGTTGTCTGGGTTAGTCCTCCTTCCCCAGAACCCCCTGGAGACCCAGCCTTACCTACAACCATCAGCCTGGTCCCTGGGCCGAAGGTAACATCATAGTTAGCACATCAAAATAGGACCACTCTAAAATGCACACTTTGGACCCACTATCCCCTACCAAGGGCCCAGGAAGATCCAGAGCATATCTTACCTACAACTGTGAGCCTGGTGCCTTCTCCAAAGAAAACTTGGGTGTTCACACAGTGACATGGGGCAAGGAAGAAAACAGAATTGAGGCATGGAGAGGAGGGGCCCTGGCTGGTGTCTGGAAGACTCCGGAATGAGAACTAACTGCTCCCCATCCCTGCTTTATAGGTACTGAACAGAAGAACATATTCAACTTTGACTTCTGAGGTCACAGAGCATGGCTAGATCCATCCAGAGGGCCCGTGCCCCTTTTTCAAATGTCTCAAAGTATGTGGGCTGGAGAGGAGGGCAGGGTCCCAGAACCCAAGATATATTTATCTTCTTTCTTTATAGATTGGGTCACCTCCCATGTACCTCCCCACTGACCTTGTCCTGGGATGAAGGAGTCTCCCTGAGTCCTTCCCCCATAAACCCACTGAGGTGTCCTTCTTACATCTGGGCTCTCTGCCTGGAAGCTTCAGTCTGATCCAGGCCTGTCCTTATCCTTGGCCTTGGCTGGACAGGTAGACAGGAGTGAGGAGGAGGCATTCTGAACCAAGCCACTCTTGGGCCTGTGATCCTAGAGAAAAGTGGAGGGACTATGGGGTTGGGTCATGCTGAGAGGTTTTTGTAAAGGTTTCCCATAGAGATAAATCACCGTGGCCCCCTGTCCCCACAATGTTTCAGCTTTGTACAAAAACGCCCCTCCCATGGGCCCGCCCCTCAGACCCAGGAAGAAACAACCAGAGCAGCTGTCCTTTGAGGGTGTTGGAGTTTGGGGGCAGTGGCATCATCCCCTGCCCCATGGTGTGAGGGGGCAAGGTTCAAACCAGGCCAAGGGTCTCCCTCCTCACCCCATACCTTTTCTTCAGGATATTCTTAGCTCCTAAAAGACATGTGTCTTTTTGAGACTGCCTACCACAGGGCCTGGTTTTCTCCCTAACCTGGTATCCGCCCCTCTTGCAGAGTCTGTCGTCATAGTGGGGAGCCACCCTGCCAGAAAGTGGAACCCCCTTTCTACGCTGGGCCTGCCCCTGAGGTTGTGACACTCAGAGACCACGCCTTTCATCTGAGAATGACGCCCTATCACCCAGACTCTGTCCCTTTGGCCCCACTCTGAACCTCTAGGGTGGTCTGGAGAACTGACCATGAGCTGCCCAGGCTGAGCTTTCCTAGATGTGGCCAAAGTGAGAGCTGTGAGCTCAGCGCATTTCTGAATGGGTGTTGGTGAGGGAAGACCACATCTGTGTTTGTGGAGCTCAGATGTCAGAGGGAGGTCAAGGGAGTCGGGGAAGTGGGTGTGAAGAACTGGAGAAAGTCTCAGGCACATACAATCATGGCCAGATAATCAGTCAGTCTTCTCCCTCTTCCCTGAAGGGTAGATACATTTTAAGTTGGTAGATATTTTAGATTTCCTTCATGAGATGACCTTGATTAACTTCCAGTTGAGTGGCCTAGATCTCATTTCACTAAATGGAGCTTCCTTTTATCACGTTTCAAACTATGACTAAAAATCTGGGGCAGGGCAAGAAGGGGTAGCAGGGGAGAGACAAACTTGACTACATAATGATGACAAACTTACATGGAAAAATATACACAGAATCAAGAAATAAGTGACAATAGGGACAAACATTTTCAGTCTTCATCAGAAGGACTAATCTCCCCAATATATGATGAACTCCTAGAAACCAGTAAGAAAATAATCCAGTAGCCCTATAAAATTGTCAAAGAACAGATGGCTCAGTTATAGGATTCTAATGGTGCTTAACCATAGGGAAAAACATTTGCAATGGTAAATGCAAACTAAAGTTACATTGAAATGTTTCTTTTCACCAATTTGACAAACTTGAATCATGGAAGAATATTTTATTGGCACTGTGTGGTGAAATATGCACTTTTACATACAGTAGTTCCCTCCTTATCCACGGTTTTGCTTTCCAAGGTTTCAGCTACCTGTGGTCAACCAAGGTCTGAAACTATTAATGAAAAATTCCAGAAATAAACAATTTCTAAACTTTAAATTACATGTTGTTCTGAGTATATGATGAAATCTCATGCTGTCTTGCTCCATCCTTCCCTTTATGTGAATCATCCCTTTGTCCAGTGTCTCCATGCTGTTGATGCTCCCCGCCCCTTAGTCACTTAGTAGCCATCTCTGTTATCAGACCGACTGTCTTGGTACCACGGTGCTTGTGTTCAAATAACTCTTATTTTACTTAATAATGGCCCCAAGCAAAAGAGTACTGATGCTAGCAATTTGGATATCCAAAGACATGCTGTAAAGTGCTTCCTTTCAGTGAAAAGGTGACTACAGTACAATGAGATATTTGGAGACAGACAACATTCATATAACTTTTATTATAGTATATTCTTAATAGTGTTTTATTTTATTATTAGTTGTTATTGTCAATATCTTACTGTGCCTAATTTATAAGTTAAACTTTATTGGAGGTATATATGTATAGGAACAAAACATGATATACAGAGGATTTGGTACTGTCCATGGTCTGTCTCAGGCACCCACTGGAGGTCTTGGACTGTATCCTCCATGGATAAAGTGGAGACTAATGTATTGATTGTGGATAGGAGTGCAAAATGACACAACCCTATGGGGGAACAATTTGAAAATATCTATACAAATTACAAAAATGCATCTATTTACTCACCCAGAAATTCCACCTATGGAAATTTATCCTTAAATATTATTGAATACAAATTAAAAAACCTGTGTAAACTATTTGCATTATTTGAAATAACAAAACAATTGAGAATAACAAATGCCCATGGTTTTATGGTTGTGAATTTGCTGAGGAAGCTTGTGAAAAAATGCGTATTTCTGAGTAGTCCCAGGTACTTTTGAATTAAAAGTCCTGGGATTGGCTTTACTAATTTGTACTTAAATAAACAATCAAGCCTCAAATTACCCTGGATATTTCTATTTCAGTGCCAGGTTTGGACCCACTGCTTGTCCCCTGACATGTAAAGAAACAGGTGTCAGGGTAGAGAACACTAGAGTGCTACCTGGTGGTGGTCACAAGTTGGATGCAATAGTGTGGCTCTTAAAATTTAGGGGAAAAAAGAGAAAGGGAAGACAGTCTGTCTACTTAACTTAGGGATAGCGGCAGATCTCACATTCTATCATAAGCCTGAATAAAAGGTCTTGGGTTGCTTTTATCAGTTGAACTGTAGTAAGACCTGGTCTTTATTCCCTTTCCACATCGAGAAACACTTTCATCACTGTAATGACTTAGTTTGATCTATTTCCGTATATTTTCCTGTCTTACCAATAATTGACCCTCTCAGTAAGTTTCCTTTGGACCATCTAGCTGGGGATCCTCATCCTGACCACCTTACAGAGAATAATATCACTCTGTCTTGGTATCACAGCTTCTTTTAATTCTGATGGGATTTGCCCCAGTTTTGCCATTCTGTCACATTGTCATATGCAGCTTTTTGGGGGTGGGGGGTAGGGGGGGAGGGAATAGGGGCAGAGTGGGTAAAAAGAGCTTAGCACTGAATGCGGTCATTTATCAATTTGGGCAGCAGGGGGCAGCGTTTCCTTATTTTTCTTCGTTAGACCTAAGTAGCTACAATCTCAGTGTGGCCACTTGAGGGAGTGAGAAAAATGTGGATGGTGCTCACGGGGACCAGGGGAAAGTGGGGTTACCTGTGTGCCTTTCTCAGGGTGTGTGTTGGCATGCGGGAAGGAGATATACAAATAACATCTTATATATGCATAATTCTTGAAACTTTCAAGCATGCGGTTACACTCATGTTAATCTAAAAATTGTCTCCTACTTTCCTCAGATGTAACTGAAACCTGATGCTAAATAGGTTGCCAACCTCACGTGTGATGCAGAAACAGAGCTGGAATAGGCACCCAGGCCTCCTTACTTAAATCCTGGTGCTCCGTAGGTGCTGTTGCCCCTGCGGCCACTGAAGGTCCTGCCCCTCAGGGAAGCCCACCTCCTGGAGCCAGTCTACCCAGGCCCTCCACTGACATCTGTGAGACCTTTAAGCCCCAGTCTCTGAATCTGTGAAATGGGAAGAGTAATAATGTCACCTGCCTCAGGAATTCTTGTGAGAACTAGATAAGATAGATAATGCCTGTAATGATTAGTGAGGTGCCTGAAATAGTAAAAATGTTG